AGACAACAGATTTGTAAGAAATGTGCAGAAGTTCAAGTGATGTTCAAAAAAATTCAGTGGGATAAAAGAAAAGTGTCCCATTGGGAAACATACTGTACACTGTCAGTAGCTAATATCAAGCACAAATAAGGAAAGCATTAAGAAAAAATTTTAATATTTAGACATTAGATAGGTACGATGAACATAGAAACCAACATTCATCAAACTCTCCAAAACCACCAATTTTACGAAATCCCAATTTCTTTGGCAAGATGACACACAGAATAGTAAAATAAAGTAAAACCAAGCTGAAAATCAAGCATCCCAAATATCAGAGAGATTTTTACACTAAATGTCCACTTTATCACCACCACTGCTGAAATAAATCCATACTGTGAACAAAAAGCAAGAACCTGAGTCGCCCACAATAAAAAAAAAATTAAGATTTAGAGAAAATTATATTCATGACAGCAAATATAATCATTAATACATCAGTTCTTTTAAGTGGTGTCAGATTTTATCAATTTCCCCTAAAGTTTCCTCCTTTGGCTGAGACGAAGCCTGGCAGTTCTCACAGAACCACGTTTCCCAAGGGACTCTGATCACAGCCACGTGTGCGTGACCTTCCCAGGGCAGATACAGCCTGACCAGAGGTCTGATGCTCCCCTCTTGCAGACAGGGAGCACCTCCTGGTCTGGCAACTGCTCCTCCTCCAAGAGCCTGAGCGACTTCCCCAGTCTGCCCTTGTTCCCTGACCCTACGGAAGGATCAGGAGGTCAGCGTGAGGAGCGGGGATGATTCAGTGAATGACGCATCAGGGAACTCAGACCGCAGGTCAAGAAATCCCCAAAAGAAAAGGCATATTCTCATTCTGGCAGAAGTCAAACAAAAGAAATGCCAGGAAGCTCATCAATAAAAGCAGATGTTTGTGTCAGTACTCCTGTTCTTGGTCAGAAATTAGCCTCTTGCACAAGCAAGCTATAGTACAGTACAAACCCAAGGTAACTGTATGGTGTATTCCACAAGCATCGCATATTATCTTTGCCATAAATTCCTTCACATAGTGTGCTTGAAATCTGAAGTTAATGTTTCATTATAAGGAAATACACGTAAAAATTTCAGCCACGGGCCCAAAGAAAGTGCTTAAAAGTTTGCTGACTTCTCCACTAAGACAGGAAGTAAGTTATAAGAATGATTTAGCCTACTGAGTTAAAAAGTTAGCATTTTATCAAAATATTAATAATAGCAGACATTTTTAATGGACCGTAAATCACAAAATTGTGTTTTAAATAAAGCTTCTAGCACTTGGTTGCAGAGAAAAACTCAGCTTTGGCCAAAAGTAGACAAAAATTCATAGGGGAAGTGAAACATCAGCTTACAGTTCTGAAATGCCTTTTTTTGTTTGTTTGTTTGTTTTGTAAAAAATTCATAACCAAAAGTTATGTTTGGCAATACTGCAAGGAGGGTGCAACAATCCACCAGGTTACTACTGTGTAAAAAAGAAGGCTTGGCTTCTTTAAACAGAGAAAGGGCAGGTGAGTAAAACCTGCTGTTAGCTATATAGCTATATAACCCCTTCTGTTAGCTATATGGCAACATAGAAAAGAATTAACAACAAGGATTACCTTATGGGAATACAGGCAATCATCCTAAGCATCTTAGAACTAGAGAAAACTGCTTGATCTTGGGATTCTTCTGACTCAAGCATTACTTCCAACCAAAAGGCACACAATGCAGTTTGTGTTCTACAAATGGTCTGTCCAAATTATCAAATTATCCAGATTTTAAAGATCTTTTTTAAAAGGCTACCATGGTAAAGAAACCTACCTACCTAGTTGCACAAACAAATTATTAGCAGATCAACTAAAACATGACGATTAATAGCATGTAAAATCTTCCATAGTAACTGCCAGTGTACAAACTCATAGCCTCCTCTAAAACAAAGTAGAATTGCCTGCCTTGCATTTACCTTATGCAGGATAACATTATACACAGGTAATAACTAAGGCATTTTAACTTGCTCCCTGGCAACATTTTGTGCAGTCACCCCCTTAGGTTAGAAGGCAGACCTGTTGCCTGCCTGGTTATTGTCCAAAAACCAGCCTGGCCATCGTTACCATGTTGCTCCCAAATGTAAAAATATACATTTACATTAGAAGATACACACAGCCTGACAGTGTACACTGCTGGGGGAGGTGAGGAAACAGTGCCATCATAAGCAGCTCCTCTCTGCAATCACAAATTCCTTATGACTGCCACGGGAGCCTACATATGTATTCTGAAGTTCAGACAGACATTACTAACACTCTTTAAACATAACAGTCCTTTGTTCCAACAGGCTTAGGAAGGGCTGGTTGGATGGCATTGTGTGGCGGCAGAAGCAGTGCTCAGCCTCCTCTGCTGAATAAGACACCAATAAAGACCATCCACAATTACCCGGGCTGTTCCCCAGCAGAACAGGTGGTTAGTGCGTACAAAAACCAGTTTTTCAGGTCTGAACTCAGGCTGTGTGGTAACCATGCAACAGACCACCCAAGGGTTTGTGAGTGACCAGAGGGTCACACTGCAGCAGAGGGAACAGCAAGAGAGTCCAGATCTGCTTGGATTCTTCTCATGGAGCAAAGAAAAGCACCATGGGGGTGTCAAGTACAGTGACTGAAAAACCCTGGAGAGAGAGCATTGAGGAAATCCTAAAGAGCACTTCAAAGAAAGAAGATGCAGGGAACAGTATGCTGTACTGTTCATTTTGCATTGACCAGCAACCTCCAGCGTCACCTGGAAAGCTGCTTTAAAAATTCCTCCAAGAACTAGCTATACATTTTGTGGTCCTAGCATTTGGGACTCCAGAGGAGTTTGCCTACTTCAAACAGAGACAGTCAGAACTGATTTTAATGTCCAGGGCTGTTGTTTCCAAGGTGCGGGCTCAGTGAGCAGGTGCAGAGAGGCAGCACCCAGAACCCCAAGATCTTAAAGCACTCACACATGGGGAGAACACAAATACAGCTGGCTGGTACCTTGCAGAGAAGGCACAAATCAGGGTGATACCACCACTAACTACCACACAAAAAGAGAACTTACTAAATTCAATCATAAGGTTGAAAAGAGGGATAGAGTTGTTCCCCACTCAGTCTGCACAATTCCGCTGCCCACTGCTAGGCCACTGCTCTGAGAGCAAGGTTCAGGTCCCAGCAAATAAAAAATATTTCTGGACAACTTAGCCTCCAATGTATTCCGCAGCTGCCTTCAAAAGTGCTTCTAAAACTCACCAGGCTTCCTTTCCCATTCAGGGATCTCCACAGTCCCCACCTCAATGTTGGTAATAATCTAAGACTGACTCTGAATCAGGGCGAGTTGTTCCCAGGTCCACTACAGTATTATAATACAATAAAATTAGGTCTTCTCTGCCTGCATCCTCCAGTTATTGCATTTCTGGGAGGGCAGTGCACAGTTAAAGAAATCCAACTTCCTCCCCACCCACCCACCCACCCCACTTTTTCCCCTCTTGAAAGCTCCTCAGTTTATAGTGAGAATATTTTTTATAACATGTAAAAACTGCAACAACTGATTCCCAGCTTACCAATTCCCAGATTTCCCACACTTTCCACAGCCAACACTCCTCAAACTTACCAGCAAGTAGTTAGTTTGGTTGTTTGGGGTTTTTTTGGCAAATGCTTCTTAAAAAATTAGGTATTTGTAAATACTCAAGCCAAAAGAATGATGCCTGGGATACTGATACACAGAATGTGATGAAGAAGCCAGTCAGAAAGGTAAAAAGGAACAAGCACAGTATCTTTTAGATTCTACAGCTTTCAGAAATGACACTTTAGTTAATTTATTTATACTAATAGATGTTTATGTATCCTTGTATATACATATTTTGTTGGCAGCAGAGACAACTCAAGGAAAGCCTAATGATCATGGAACAGCGCAGTTCCAAACAAATACAGCAGAACATATTTCCAAATACAACTGCCTGCATAAAATTAGGACAAAAATTAATTCAACTTGTAAAACAAGCGTTTAATGCTACTCTGACAAACCAGTTTAGCTACAACTACATCCAAATTCCCTGTGTAAACATGCTTGATATGGTTATGGAACACAGAGCCAATATGAGAAAAGAGCAACTCTTATTTCTTGCCTAAATCTGCCCAGAATCTTGAAAAACAAAACTTCCCCCTTTGCTCTTCCAATATGCTATTCATTAATTGGAACTTAATCTCCTTTATCTAACAACATCTCTAATTAATTGGTCTGCACCTGACCAGAAGCAATTAACACCCACATGCAGTTCTGCTCACACTGACAACCTGTGTCACTAAATCATGTTCTACAACTCTGCAAGAGAGCTCTGAACATGCAAGCAATCAACACATCAGCTCACTGGGGAAAATAAAACTGCCTATGTGGAATTTTGCCTATAGTAGCATTGCAAAAACTGCATCAAATTGTTTTTACAATGTAACTATACTGGTTTTTTTTCCTATTTCTTTGAAAGCTAAACATGGTGTTTATACTCTTACCAAATCAATTCTCACTTACTTAGAGCAACTTCTAGCTCTGACTACCTTCCAACAGCTGTGGATTTTGTGTTACTATCTTGTAATACTATGTGCAGTAACACTGCACATTATTAGGCAAACCACAATATATGTCAACTCAACTGTTGCTCTAGCACTGCAAAGCGTCTTCTGCCTTATTCTAGAAGTGCAGCATTCTGAGGGAAAAGGGAGTGGGGAGCTTGTAACTGTTACAATTAGCAATCTAAAAATAAAAAGTAAAAACTACTAAATTCAAAACAGGATATACTCCTCAGGAACTAGCAAAAAACTAGAGGTGATTTTTAAAAAGTCCTACAGTGAAATATTTTTACATTCATTTCCTGCTGTAGAAGTAAAACAGAAGAACAGAGCTCAGTCTTAAGAAATACTGGAATTGGGATCACAATGCAACTGGCAATACCTTCAACCAAAACACAGTCCAGATCACTTTTCCACCATGTTTGCAGAAGTATAACTTACCACTTGGAAAACCAGGAGCCCAGTTTTACAGCACAGCCACCACCAGAAAGGAGGGAACTGTCCCCATCTGTCTCTCTAGAAGTTCAACAACACGTTCTTGCCGCTTCCTCCAGCCTGGTTGTTCTGTTCCTACAGAGGAAAAAAAAAAATCATACTTAAAAAATGCTTATACTATTCAAAAAATTTCTTTTGGCCCATTTAGTTCCATGAATCATCTCAGCTGCAGGTCAGATGAGCAGTGCTGACTCCAGGGAGGGGTGGGGGCACAGGGGCAGGAAGCAAGCAGTGCTGCCCACTTTCAGTGACAGCTCTCCCTGAGCCAGCTTAGCTACACCAGAAAAATCACAGCAGTCATTGCATTTACTCCTGTGTTCAGACTTAAAGTCATATAAGGGTATTTCTAGAAAAAAACAAACAAACAAACAAACAAAAAACCATATTTTTTTTTACACAGACATCATTAGTCATTTTTACGTAACTAGTGAGCAGAAAGGAATTTAAAATTCCCAAGACCTAGAAGTTATAAAGCCACAGAAGTAGACTTTGCCTCTGTTTTATTCCTGTCTTCTAACAAACTGCACAGGGCCTACATACACTAGTATGTAGGACATGGAATTAGCAGGACAGTAAGAACTTGCACAATTCAAGTATTAAAACTGATTCACTGTCTTTATCTGTGATAAGAATTCTTAAAGTGTTTTAACCTCAAAACTCAGTTCCTGATTAATATTCATGAGTAATGCCTACATACATTTCTCACATCTTCTGTTATTTATTTTAATTCATCTCAATAAACGTGTATCTCACAAATATATAAATGTTTGTTTCCTTGGCATTGAAATGATTGTCATCTTCACAGCAGCAGGCTTGAAACCACTGGCAAAGGAGGACGAGAACACCAAGCAGAAAGTGTCAGGAAGTGAGAAAGTTTTGATAGCAGTACCCCAGCTTCCTTTCAAATGAGGACATTAAAACCAAAATTCTGTTCTGCTACTGAGACTAATTTTTGTGATTCGATCCCACATATGCTCAGTAGCAATAAGGAAAAAGACTCAGACACACAGAAAAGCTGCAGTACAAAGTTCATCCTCTCTCAGCTTGACCCAATCTGTTTTTCCCCCCACAGCCTGACTAAGTCTGAGCTTGTTTCAGCAAGCAGGTCCTGCCTGAAATACCGTAACAGATGGGCTCAGGTTGACACGAGCCAGATGCTAAGAATATCTGGCATTTAAATGATCAGGGCTTTATCATCCATTTCCATTAATTTCAGCTGAGTTTGAATAAACCTCAGTGAGCTCAGTTGGTCTGAATTCACCTTTGGAGCTCCTTCCCAGCTGCACTCCCTACCCAGCCCTTCCACGTGCTCTGTCATTCTATTGGAATGCTTGTTTCCTCACCATTTTGGTTACTTGGAAAATGGTATACAAGTAAGAATTAGTCACCTCTAGGTGGTTTGATCATCAACTAGTTCTTTAAAAGAACCCCCAGTGTAAATGTATGTCTTTACATCAATAAATAAATCAGAAAGCATCACAGATTGGACATTAAGTATTAAAGTTAATAATAAATAAAACCCAGGTTATATTGCAAATGAAAAGCATCTTACTAAAATATTTTATTTAACTCACTGAAATGCTAACTATTCATTATTAGTCATAACAAAAATTCATTGAATGAAAAGCAACAAACTGAAACCAAAGTCACAGGTAAATTATTATACAGTCACAGGTAAATTATTTCTACATTTATCTACCTGTAAAACCCTTATTATGTTGTCTCCTTCTGCGAAATAAAGCATGCAGTCTTAAGACCTGAAAACTTTATCAAAGCCCTTTAAAGCATTTTTATATTGATTACATTACATTATAAAGCCTGTGGCTTTATAACCAGCCATTTACAAGGCAGCATTATTTAAAAAAAAAAGTAAAATAAGGATTTATTGCTACTCTTGCTGAGCATCTCAAAAACACATTCCTTTTGTTGTGGGCTGAATGACAACTCAGATTTCAAACAGTATTTATTTCTGCATCCCAGAGAACAGAAGATGGGACAAAGCTCTATCACTACACTTAAGCAAACTGTGATGCAGGACACAGGAGAATGAGCCTGAAAATTACCTCCTTAATTATCTTTACCAGAAGGCCCTACAAGCTGCTGAGCAGAGCAAACATACACACATGGCCTGCAGTGAACACAGAACACTTGTAGCACAGGGGCACTTCAGGGCACTTTAGAAGTTGCCAGAAGCAGCCACTTGTATTCAGAGAAACTTCTCACCTTTCTCTGACTTATGCCAGTTACAGCCTTGGTAACCTTTGTTATTTCTGTTTTTAACTAGAATGCGTTACTTATTCACTTAGTTTTATGCCCAGAAACAGAAATTAAACACACCCTGTTTGTTCCTTCTCTCTAATTACAGATCAGAAGCTACTTTTAATGCTGAAATGAGGATTACAGAACAGTTGTTAAGAGAGGAGCATTTTGGCCATTAGCTGTGAAGAAGGCTTTTAGGAAAAGTGGTATGTGTGGCATTGTGTCACATGAGAGCCAGCTTTGATTTTGTTTCTTCTTTAGAGCACCAATAGACCTGAAGCCTCTGAACTGCAAGACCTGTGCTGTAAAATTCAAAACAGCAGCTTGGTTCTACAGAGGAAAGGGTTTATTTGATTTTTATAAAAATGTTACTGCAAATAAGCTACAAAAAACAAAGAGGTTTGAAGGACACATTTTGACACAAACTCATATCATAACTGCAAGGTACTGAGGTAAAACAATGCCTCAGTTAGAAAAGGAACAGTAGCTTCATCTTTTATTCAATTTCTCTGTTTATCTCTGAGGAACCTAGACAAAACTGTTCAACTTTTTACACCTCAATTTTACTAACTCTGAAGAGGTAACACTCAGCAATAGCAATCTACACATGGTGCGCAGGAAATATCATTACAGCTTATTTGTGCTATCCTATGTTATACTTGTTATGCAAAGAACACCTCTAAAGGAAAGACCCAATGTAGAGCTTGCCCCTCTGCCTGCACCTATGGAATACCCTGCTGCTTGGCACCACAGGACAGAGACTGGATCCTACTCAAGGAGTCTCAGGAAGATAGGTTGGCATAAGAGGCAAAAGACAAGTAACACCAACAGTTATTGAAAGGGATTTTCCAGTCTCTGGAGATAAGAATGATAACGATTTTTATTATGAGATAAGAGCGTTATAAAACTCCTAATTTTATAACATAGCATTTTTTCCCAGGTGAAAATGTTGTGTTGGGTTTTTTTTAAATAAGAGAAAATCCTAGATCAATGTCTTTACTGTTTTCAAAGTGTAAAATCTAGAATTCATGTTTTTCAGCAACACAAGACAGACTCTTCATGAAGTCTGCCGTAATGATCTAAGGAAGAAGTTGCACTTCCTCATTGTAGTACAAGATGATTTAACTGCAGGGTGGTTACAAACTATTTCACACTGTAACATCCTGTCAGCTTAGCAAATAATCATCTTGAAACTTTGCAGATGCTGCCTTAATAGATTATCTCCCTACTTACGCAGTATTCAGCCTTCGAAAGAACGGCTTAGCTCCCCAAATGGCTCCTTAGGAAGAAAAGAGCCATCTCTGGCTCAACCAGGCACCAATTTTTGGTTTCAGTAGTTCAGTAGGGTCTGTAACTGCACTTCAGCAGTATGCCTAGGTCTCTGGAACTGCTGGTGAGCACAGCTGTTGCTCGGAGAGCAAAAGAACAGCAGAGACCAGCGAGTGGCCGCGCAGTGGCCAAGGCTCCCTCGGTGCCAGCGAGCACAGACCCCACACCTCGGCCCCGAGCAGCAGCAAACAGCTCCAACACCCATCCCACCGGCTGCTCTTACACACCTGCATTCCCAGCCTCATTTGGTATCATTACAAAGCATTCTTTGATTTATTTCTGTATAGAAAAGGTCCCAATGACACTTGTGATACAGAAGCCCTGCCAGATGCTTAGCACAGTTTGACTATTACATTTTATTATCCTAAACCACCTATCAAATCCAAGTAGACTGGATCCTTTTCCAGAAAGATAAAATGTACCTTCAACACAAATGATGAGACTGAGGGAGTAATCACTAAGTGAAGTATTTCACCCTGTTTTACAGTCCTCATAAGTTATAATCAGGACAAGTTTGATAAATTCCATAATGTTAAACCCAAGCCAAAGTTGTAACACAAAAATAAATCTAAAGTTTCATTTTAGAGATTTTACTGTAAATTCAGGGGGGATACTGTCTTTGTTTTAATTTAAGAGCAACTGGCAATTACACAAACACCCACCTTAACAGAAAACAGTGATCATCACCTCTAGGCTTACATCTTAAACTAATTAGCTCTCAACCAGCACCTGCTCTTTCACTTAGCACAAGCCATGAGAACATAAATGCCCACATACATTAGGGAATGAAGTCTATTCCTTGTTTACTCTTAATGGTGTTGACATTAGCTTCATTAAGAAAAATTTAAGAAGTTTAATGGCTGCTTTACAAGAACCCCCAATGACCCTAATTGCTGTTAGTAATGGCTTCTGGAAGCACAAATAACATATTATAATGGTCATTGGAAACCTGTATTGGCTTACTGTTTTCAGAGTGGTATTCTACATACCCCTGTTTTCCATTCCACATTCCTCTATCACAGGTCTTAACATACACCTCAACACATTCTTCTTCCACCTATAGGGGATCATAAAAAAACTTACAGATGGGACTTCAACATTTGAAAAGTCAAGATACCTAAACAAACAAAGAAACTCCTTCAGCACAAACACAACCACTCTATCCCACAGTTTGCTTTTTTCTTTTTTTTTACCTAGATAAAGCATTAAACCCTCCTAGAAACTTTCTCTTTCTCTCCTGGAATCTTGCTTGCATAAAAATAATATTGAAAATTTTTCTTATTTATCCTCAAAATATATCATAGCTACAGAACTTCTTGATTGTACTTTTTCTTAAGGTGAGTGCCTTTTAAAGTTCCCAGGTCCTTATATTCGTTAAAACAAACAGACAAACAAAAACAAAAAACCAACCCTCTCCCATCATGAATCTTCACAGAAAGCAATAAGGTCACTAATGCGGATACAGCTACATCTTATTTCCTACTATGAAGAAATTTTCATATTGCAGTGGCCAGCACAGGACACTTTATTTCCTATAATAAATCACAAACACTTCAGAATCAAAACCACAGGTTTTAGGTACATTTGTGTGGATTCCCCCATCTTGTATTTGCACAGCACTTATAACAGCATGGTCTTGGGCCAAGGGCGTCAGGCTCTCAGCAGTACAAATAAAATATAACACATCTGAGAGAAGGAAAACAGACTTCTATGCTGAATCAAATTCAAACATTACAGTGCATATTTACTTTGTGTTTCCAAAAATGCTTTCAAAGTGTCTCTGCCAGTTCTCAGCACTTGTGTTGACCACATCCTTTACTGGTCATGAAAGAAGTCTCAGGCTCTCTCTTCAGTGTGGTCCTGGGTTGTTGGTGATGATATTCACCTGTTCTGGGATTTCCTTCATCTGCCAGCGGCAAATGTAAGATCCTTGCAATAATGTCCTGGTGCTGTGCTACATGCATTAAACTATTTTAATCCCTTTATTAACTTGTTATAAAAATACCATAACACATCCTACTGAGATTAGAAGCAATTTACCTATTCAGCAGTAAACAAGACACAAGCCAAACTTCTGTTGATATTTAAAATTTTCCCTGGTATGTAAGTAACTCCTTCAGCAACTTAAAGCCCTATTACACTAAAGAAGTGCAAGCCCAAAAGGATCTGAAATACTCCATACTAGGGCAGTCAGCTTTTGACTTTTGAGAGCAAAATACAAACCCAAAGTTCTCCATTCACGCGGCGGGCAGAATCCCACCCCAGTTCTCAGGCCTCGCAGCTTTACCAAATCCGCCTTTTCTAAGCCAAATAAACTTGAGAGAAAAGATTTACGGGCCCGAACATTTACTCGCTGTTCCCAAGTGTATCAAGTGGTGTCATAAGAGATAATAAATAACCATTATACGGGAAACCTTCGACGGTTTTAATTTCGTGCTCGGCGGAGCGCGACCCCCGAGCCCTCACCCTCCCGGGGCATCTCCCCTGCCGGGGCGGCCTCTCACCTGCGGCCGGCGGGAGAGCAGCGGGTCGGGGCTGGGACCAGGAGCTGCTGCTGCTGCTGCTCCTCCTTCTCTTCCTCTTCCTCCTCCTCCTCCTCCTCCTCCTCCTCCTGCCGCCGCCGCCCGAGGTGTCTCTGGGGCCCGCGGAGCCTCCCCGGCGCGGCGAGGGCGGGACGCACCGCGGCATCGCCCCTCCTGCCTCTGCCGCCTGCGAGGGACGCGGGCGGGACCTACGCGAGGCATCGCCTTAAGCCTCGCCTAACGGGGCTCCGGCCTCCCTCAGCTCTGCTCGCCCTCGGGGTCAGCACAGCATCGGGAAGCGTCCATGTGCCCTCCCCATCAGCACCCACGCTGTACAGGGGTGGAAACAAATTTCTGCCCCGGACTCTGAAAAATGTGAAGGTTTACAGCCAGCTTTTTAAAAATCTGGCTGCTGTTGGGGTGCTCCCGGCAGGATTCCCCGCTTCCCCGCAGCCAGGCTGTTCCTGGGGACAAGGGCCCTGAGCATCCCACGACTCCAGTTTCCCATCGCTCTGTTGACTGGAGTCCCCTCAGGCTTCTTCCTGAGAGGTTCACCGGGCTAGCAACGATTCCGCAGTGTATCGAGCCTTGAACATATGGTTGCTAATTCAGACCAAGCCTGGCTCTACCACACCTTAAGTCCAATGCAAAGCTCACTGGAGACAATAGAAAGAAACGCTGATTTCTGTGGATTTTCAGATCAGGTTTATCAGGAGAGCTGTTTGTTAGTCACGCAGCCTGTGGCAGGCAGGTGTGTGCCCTGCTACCTGCAGCTACAACATATTAGTCATCCATGGACTTACCATTACTGCAATAATACCTTAGTAACTAAATACAGTTTTTATTTTTGTCCTGGCAGCCAGCTGGTGCTTTCCCCACTCAGTGGGCCTGAGCAATGAGCTTGAATTGCCTCTGTTGGAGGGAGCAGCAGAGCAGTGCACAAGCCACAAGCACAACAGCTTTATGAGATTCTCAAAGCTTCTGTTCCAATATTGGTGGGCAAATAGGAAAGGCTCTGCTCCCTGAGAATGCCCAGCCATTGGGATGCTTTGGGGCAGTTAGGGCTGGGAATCTTGGAAAGGAATTTAAATCCAGTTTCAGCAATGTGGGGCAACATATAAGGAATACAGAAGTGGTTATGTACCCGAGGCACAGGACTGGGCAGTGAATTGGACTCTCTGCTCCTTTTAACCTTGCCCCATGACAGTTTTATGTACAGTCTTGAGCGAGGCACTTAAAAATATCTAGGTCTTCTCCATTTCTGTTTGGGACATTGTGAATCTAGAAAGTACTAGGAAATTATTGGAGCATTCAGATGGAAGCAGTGCATAGGCTGTTCAGACTGTTTCTTAGGGGAGGGGAGAAGAAGAATCTTCCAGTACATTGATTGTTAAAAAGAATTCTTTGTCTTCACTGAAAGTTGGATTAGATTACAAGATTTAAAAACTGCAGGAAATGGAAAATACAATTGTTCTGCTGAGATCATAAATGGAGTCGTTTCAGAACAGATGGACTCAATTTATCTTTTCATCAAAAATTTGTGGACCTTCCGAGTACAGACATTTCTGCATACCCACAACAAATACTTGCTATCCCACAGTAAGATCTGAAATTCCTGCATGGTTCAACACAACTGACACTGTAGGGTTTTTTTAATGGCAGTATATCCAAAGCACTCCAAGTGCTGTATGTACATTGTTGTGCAGATTACTCTTTACTATGGGAAATCATTAAAAAGCATTTTTAGCAAAACTGATGTAAAAAAAAAATATGGAAATGAATATCCAGTGAACTGGCTCCTGTATATGCTACATGTACACTTCCCCTGTCCTTTTTCCTGCTGCTAATGTCTCTCGAGTGCTGTGCAGCTGAAGCACAGCCACGGCTGGTTTCCACAAGGCAGATGATATCACCCCTTGCTGGAGAGCACCTGGCACTGCTGGGAGCCCTGCTCAGTGCCATTTCCTAAGTGCAAGGTTCGGTCCCTGGTGAGAAAAATTGATCTAAAATAAATTTCCTATGCATATGTGATAGCTGCAAATGTCTGATATTGTGAAAATGTAGCCATCAATTAAAGGTCCATCTGAAATGACATTGCCAGAATTTGAATTCAGCAATCCCTGGGGTTGTGTTTGTTTCTGGGAAAGTGTTCTTCATAGACAAGCAAGCATTATTTAATGTTTTCAAGCTCTTACTTAGAAAAAATGCCCAGTAGCTTTACAGTGATACATACATATTGAATGTATAAAACCAGAGTATTAAAGACACAAATCTAATCTTTCTGATGACTGAACTGGGTGACTACATCATAAATAATCTTAGAGTTTTAGGAAAGATAAAATGTAACACATTAGATGATAAAAGTCTAATAAAACAAATTTTTCAATTTTCTATTTAAATTGTTTATACCAGAGTATAAGTGTGATCAGTGTCATTTACAAACTGAGTTACAGAGCATTACAGAAGTCTGTTTTGTACCGGTCAGATGTGTGTTTCAATGTAAATTCCATAGTATCCAGGGCCATGAATCATTATGAAATAGAGAAAGATCACTAGTTTTAAAAAAAGCAGAACTAGAAAAACATAGTAAATTTCAAGTATAACTCTCATGTGGGGGAGTTACATTTTTCTCTTAGTAAGTCATTGCAGGTTGAATGTGCCTTCAGTATGTGCATGTTTGTACTATTCACAGCAGTAAAGTGGATGACAGCATTTGGTCCCAGCAAGTTAATTCTAAATAATTTTATTTGCAAAATGTTTCAACAATCAGATTTTCAGGGGCTCCCATAAATGAGTCAGTGAGGACTCAAGAGGATGGTTGCCGACCAAATAAATATGTGATGAAAGCAAATCAGAAATACAGTCATAGCCTCAGAAAATACTCTTTTAAACCCTTTAGAATAATTTGAAAATTAATATAGACTGTTTTGTGGGTTAGACATTATATAAAGTATATATAGTATATATATATATAAAGTAGCATAATATGTTAAGTTGTATTTTTAAAATTAGCAGGTAGACTTTTAATATATTCACTCATTTTAAATATTCCTTTGACATTGAAGTATTTATGAGAAATTTTATTTGTTTGTTTTGGATGAGATTTAGCATCTATTTACTAGTCTGCATCCACACACACTCCACTCTCTCTTAGGCCACTGATCAATTTAGAGAATGAGACAAATAACTTGAGTAAATTATTTGCTATTTCCTGTAAAGATATCTAATAATAGAGCAATCCCAACATGCTAGGCACGACATGCTTAGGAAGGATGTAGCAAGACATTATTTTCAGCTGCTTCATTGCCATCAGCCTCATTTACAGGACAATATTAGAATCAATTGCTGAAGAGCATTAGGGTTATGCTGTTAAATGCAGGAGTGCTTTTCTGCATCAGCCTGGCTGAAGAGAAGGCAGAGTTTCACTGCTGTTACATGGCTTGCCTTTTTTGGCCCTTGGATCAATTGAACAAATGTTTGGGAATAACGTGCTGCTTTCCATAAACAAAGCAATAAATGCCACATTTCTTTAGGGAAATAAAAAGCTATTCAGGTCTCCAGTCCTATTTGTTATTTCTTTTAAAGTTGTTCAAGACTCTTAACTGACTTGAAACCATGATCATGTTTTCTGGCATTCCAGATTTTATGAAAGCCAGTGGGACTTAATACTACAACAGTAATTTCTTCAAGCTCAAGGCAAATTCACAGCACTGTAAAATGATAGAAGAAATTAGGAAAGGTCCAAAAAGTATGTGGCTGAGGAGCTATGCAGTGTTTTCTAGAGGAACTGCAGGACTTATGAATTCCAGTCCCATTGGCTGCGGCTCCAGAGCCTGAGCTAGGAGGTTTTGGTTGACTTCTTGAATTAAGAATCAGAAAAACATCTCCATCTCCTCTCCTGTTCATCCTTAAGGTTCTTTCTCCTGAACAGGAAAATGAATTATTGCCTTGAAAAATCCATGCCTGGCTAATTGCTTAAGCCTTTTACCTGTACTTGAGGGTGTGATTTGGGCTTCACCAAGGGCTATAGATCAGAGTTGGGTTTAAACCTTTCTGTATACTCAAGTTGACCAGCATCAAAATGGAACATTTTCTCCTAGAAATTGAATTCCTCTCAACAATGACAGAAGATCTGGTCTGGGACTTCCTAGAAAACTGTTAGATGGTCTTTATTGAGAAGTCACTTCTTTTTGTTAATTGGTATGTTACACAAGAAAAGAAAATAAATGAAAGGAAGGCCATTTCCCTGTCAGGTATCTTAACGCTGCAGGTGGAGTTTGACATGAAGTGGAAGATGTTATTGATTTAAAGAACACAGAACAGATCATTTTATGTTCACAGCGAATGATGAAACTGTTAAGCTAACTGTTTTCAATTTGCACCTTCAGTATCTTTGCATTAGTAGCCAGGAGGGCATACCGGAGAGAAAAGAAGAATACTTTGGAAAAATCAGTAAGGAACAAATGGATCATGTATATTATTAGGGAAAAACACTCTTACGTAAACTGGAATACAATTCTAGAACAGAAAGTTCTGAGAGAATGCTCTAGGAAACTGCTACAAAGCAAATTTATAAGTGTGTGGACAAACTTTATTTGGTTAAATCAACATAGCCCTATATATTGAAACCAACTGCAAAAGTTGGATTCCTTCCTTTTCACATTAATGCTTCAGCTTCCAGATTCCCAGCATCTGTGTTTGCCTGTGCTCTCCAAAAAGTTTGCTCTGCTTTTGACAGACCATCATGGGACTTTGTTCTGAAGAATTTAGAAACACTTACACGTATTTGCATAAAGCACTTTGTGTAGGAGAGCAGGTTGGGGACAGCGTGTGGTCTGTGCCAGTGCTGCAGAGGAGCCAAAGCTGCCTGTGGGCACGGCCAGAGATGCCAGGATAACCTCTGGCACTGGCTGCTCTTTCTTGGAGCCAGTACCACCTCTCACCCCCTTGGCTTTTGACCCCACTGATATTGTGTAAAGTTTTTTGGGTGTTTTCTTTGGCAACAAAATCCAGTTTTCTCAGTTATCCCCTTATAGTAATGGGATTCTGTGGGATTTAGGCAGTA